AAGGATTATTCATCATCATGGGTCTGACAATACTATAAAATGACCCAAGACATTTAATTTGATCATAATTACTAATATCACAAACCTTGGCTTTTGGGCCAACTTGGATTTTCCCATTGTTGATTAGAAGAGTAGCCTGCACCTGTGCCTCTTGTCTTAAGGGATTACCTGCTGAAAAGAACATAGGCAAAACATGTAAGCAAAATACTGGTTTGTTCTTGCTGTCTCTCTGTCTATTTATTTCATTATCACAGTAGCAACTTGTTTAATTAATATATCTTCAAATTAGCTTGAGAGTATAAATAAATTACTACTGACCTGTTGTTGATATAGTACATGTGCTGCTTGGTGTTGCTGTTGCTGGGGTGTCTGGAACCTCTTTATTTGGCTTTTGATAAAGAAAATATCTAGTTTAATCTTTTTAGACAAAAGAAGATTTTTCTCACACATACTAAATTACTCAGGCGTTTTAATAAATTCGAGTGCTAAATTAAAAAGCCAATTAAGTATAAGAACAAAGCAAAAAATAATTTCTTAAAAGAAAAAGATGAAAAACAACTCACCTTCAATATAACCTTTACTCTTGCTTTGTTTTCAAACTTTCCTTCTGGAAAATCAATGTACTCCTGCCAATCCTGGTCAAACTTTTGTAGAAAAATCTCTTCTTTGATATTAAAAGCAGTTTTAATAACATTGATTACTTCATGGTGCTCTCCAGAGCTGGTCAGCACTTTTTTGGAGACTCCAAACTCTACGAGAATCTGTTCATACAAAAGAAAAGACATTGTTGAAAGATAAGGTGGGATATAACGGAATATCAATTGAAACTGACTGAAAGCTTCTCAATTGCAAGCTAATAGTTTTGAGTTTTCGTCAGCGAGTTTCTAGGCACATGTTCAGTGTGACATTGAAACTTTAATAAAAAATAACTCGAAATCATCATCTCCACAAACACTGTGACCTTTGTTTTACAGAGTGGGATAAAAAATACTGCAGTGGAAAACCGATGGAATTGGATTCTTTTTCGTAATTTACTATTTGCTTGAGTTCATTGCGCGGGGGTCGAGAATCAGCAATTCAAACTCAAAGAAAATTTAAAAGAGCTTTTATATTAAGCAAAGAAATTAAAAAAGTAAAATGATTGGAAAGGCTATTTGGCCGTGTGTGTCCTCGCTAGTCGAATATCAAGACCCAAAGCTCAATAAAACAATAACAATTCAACTGATAATGAGTTGGAATATTATTAAAACATGAAATCGGCGCTCGACTTCGAACAAGCAAATATCATTGAAATATCCACTGAAAATCGATGCAAAAAACATACCATCCATCTTTAGAATATTTACTTCATCTTTATCGATTTCAAAACTATAATAAATAACTCTTGAGCTCTCAGTTTAATTAGAAAAAAATATAAATCAACACAATACCTTAATGTCGTCCATCTTGAATCCGCCTAAAGCACATGGGTGCGACTCACTCGCCTCAGTCCTCGCTCGTCCACGAATGTCAAAACCTTACTAATCCCCCACCCCACGGGCAAAACTGATGCAACAAAAAACAACAAATCCCCCACCCCCTCGGACACAAAAAAGTGCCAAAACCCGTAGTTACCCCCATCAATGCCCCATACTTCCCCGGGCTGGGGGGGGTGGGGGTTTCAATTGACAGGTGCATAAAAGAAAGAGACAACGGGGAGGGTTTTTAGGTGGAATATTTGGTAACAATCTGTATAAAAGCACCATCAATACTCAGGCGTTGAGCAAAGAGTTGGCGAGACGCATGATAAGGAGACTCAATCATAAAAGGAGATAAATAAGTATGAATTCGCGAAAACACCGCATTGTGTCCGTGAGAGGTAAAGTGAAAAGAGGTCTGCAGGGGTGATTATAAAAGCCACGACCTAAATGGCCAGACACAATAAACGCACTCTAAGAAGACGGAGAAGAACGAAAAAAAGGGTGAGAAAGAGGGGTCAAAAAGGCGGAATATTACCTTTAGCGGCACTCATCCCCGCGCTCATTGCAGGAGGAAAAGCCGTAGGGTTAGGAGCATTGAGTGGAGCAGCTGGATTTGGGGCCAAGAAAGCTTTGGACGCAACTACTAGAAGGCGAGGATGAATCACATGAAAAGAAGTATTGATTTTTAAAAATCCATCTTACGCGAAAAAAATTCAAATCTACGAAAGGAAAAAATATTACATGCCAGTAAAGATCAAATCAATAGCGTGAGTGAATTAGTGATGAACATGTTGAAACGACGCATAACGTTACCACCTCAGACGGTAGCAAAATTGAGAAAGTATAGCAGTGTGTTGCGCGAGGTAGGTAAGCGAGTCAACTCTTTAAAAAAACGGAGACAGTTACTTGCCTCTCAGACGGGCGGTGGCTTTTGGCGGGGAATGAACGAAGTGTTCTGTTGTTGTCCATTAAAATGAACGAACCCAAGATAGAAGCAGAAGAGAATGAAAATCAAGTAGACGCTGGTATTACCTTTTATATCGACTTTGACGAGAGTGGTTATAACACCAACAGCACAGGGAGTTCCTGGTTACATTGGATAAGCGAGCATATTTTGATACCGATACTTAAACTATGGAAAAGAAACTGATCGTCGACCCGCAAGAATTTCAAGCACTGGTGGATTTTTATAAGGGAAAAATATCAGAAAGTGCCCTGTTAGATAAAGCTGCAAAAGTCGCAGCCGAAACTCAGATGTTACTCAGCGATTCACACACGCAAGCAGGGTTGAAAGAACCCATGATAAAACAATTATTAATGCAAGAACGATAATTAACCGATCAGTTGAGACAATTACCTGCAGGCGTAGGACCTGAGACGAGCGAAGACGGAGGAGAGCAGGGGAATCTATTAGATTCTGTGCAAGAGAACCTAATAAAAGGTTTGATTCGGTGCGTCAAAACAGGCAAAGAACCTACTGCTGCTGTCATAGAGAAAACAGCCACACCTTCGACTTCCAAGAAAAAGAAAAAACAGATCATTTCCCCCAAGAAATTATTTTCTACTCCAGGTAGCAGTGCCACAAAAAAACCCATGAGGTTTCCCTATGGGTTTATGAGTCTTAAAGATTTACCTTCAACACCCATTCTTACAGGAAAACGTTTGTTACCTTCGACTGCTCTAGGAGCATCTAAGTCAGCGGGGCATAGCGCTTTTAAAAAAAAGAGTAGGATCGAACAGGTGTGGGACCCGTGGGAAAAGAGAGGTTGGGATCCAGTCAAAGCCGTACAACATGCCGAATACAAAGCGCCGAAAGGCAAAGGCAAAGGGAAGGGGAAGGGCAAAAAGTAAAAGAAGAAGGCAATCTGGAGGGAAAATCTATCTTCAAAAATGGATTTAGAAACTGAGTATAGAATTTCATTGGCCCGGTTATCAGTACATGGGCCTGGGTATGAAATTAGCCATGCGTCTTAAACGCGGGGACCGGGGTATTAACTGTCTCGGTAAGTTAGCTAAACAGCACGATATTATTATAGTAATGCTAAAAGTCTAGCCGATAAACACAAGGCCGATCGTAAAATGATTACCGGTATTCAGCGATTCGGTAAAAACACAATGACCCAACGCATTGTGAAACGCATCATGCAAGCTAAAGTAAAAGCTGGATTGTAAAAAAAAGAAATGAAGTGTGTGGAAAAGGTATCATTTGTACATGTCTTTATTGGAGTGACGATGGAATCCTTTTATTTAACCCTTCCGAGTAACGATGGAAGTGTCAAATACTTTCCCGGAAACACTAACAATTCTTCGAAAAACTTCAATTCGAAACGATTTTCAACGAGGAGGAAGGAACGATTACAGTGGCGTCTGAAAAGGTGGACGACAGTGCATTTGCCTCTTGGTTATATTTTAAAATTCATTGCTATTTTGTATTGAGGAAAGATATGTGTGATCTTTTTGGATGGGTAAAGTATACAAATTACCAGAGTACCATCATAGCCAAACACGGACCTAATCTGGTGTTGAGGAAACGAGGTAACGCATTTGTGGAAGATTGTACAGATTCTCAACATTACGGTTATTGATAAAGGGTTATTGGAAACCGTGTTTAAAGGAAAGGATGGGGTGAATATAGACTGTATCGAATTCTATCTCGACGAGTTTACTCACACCTTCGCAAATCTTAAAGAGTGCACTTATAAAAACGGAATGGCCCCTCGCATGCTTTACCTCTACTCCTCCTTGTGTGCTCCCATGATCATGGGTGATCAGATCACTGATCTGATGCGTACTTTTGAGTACCGTCCTCTATTGAAAGGGAGTTATTACTACGAACCGAAACACATTCATTACATCGCTTTGCGAAATGAACACATCGACGAGGTGGAAACGCAACTCCGCGAATCTGAAAATAATCATTTAGCGCAATTTACAAATGATGGAACAAGTATCGTGACTTTACACTTTAGAAGGATTAAATAAAGACAGTGCAACAGAAAAAAATTAATCACTTACCTACATTCTATGGCATGAGTGACTTTTACTTGACGTTACCCAGTAACGATGGTAGCGTCAAATACTTTCCCGGAAACACCAACAAGTCTTGGAAAAATCAACTGACTTCGCGCATTGATTTACAGGGAGAATGGGTAGTAGGATTATCGAGTATATCCTTACCTTACAGTCTCGCGCTCAAGAACCGTTGGGAACCCTATTTGAAAGGATTATCAGAGGATGATGTGCTTCTCGCTACCAGTCGCTTACTAATAAACTCACAAAAGACCTTTAAAATAGTCACGTTTTCAATCACTTATGGAGACATCAAAAGGTACACATTACATACTCCCTACGATCTCTTAGAAGCGGTCTTTCAGGAAGAACGACTAAAACTTATATTCAGTCTGGATGACACGTGGAGAAGTCATTTATCGAATGATAAAACACTTCAACTCGATGTGCATTGGGATCGAGAAAAAGGAACCGTCACAGTATCCTGTGAGAGCATAGATTTGGCTCATGTAAGAGATGCACGCATCCGTAATCACGTATACTTCGAGTTACCCCGACAACTCTGCAAGTGGGGAGGATGGACAGAAAATTCACATATCCAATTCACAGATTTTCGTGGGGTGAAGGAAGATAATTATAATGTGACACGCCCTAGCGCGAATCTCTCTTTGATGAAATGCGGTACAGGATGGAGTTACGATGGACCGCTTACTACCCTCAATAGTTCGTATTTTTGGTATGACATTCCGTGGAAAGATAATTCGACAAGGGACACGCATCGCTTTTTACTGAGTGATATCATCTGGACCTTTAAATACAACCCCCACGTTACACCTACAACGGCAACCAGTTCACGCAATGTTTACGTATATTCCTCCATGCGTGCGCCAGTGACGATGGGGGATCAACCCACCGATTTATTACGTCAAATTCCTTAGCAGGAAAGAATGAAAGGCACGGCTTGTTTCGAACCGAAACACATTCATTACATCCCCTTACGAAATAATAATTTCGACGTCATCGAAACGCAAGTGGGTGAAATGACGAAAAACACTCTGGCCGACTTACCCGAAAAAGGCCCCAGTATATTGACGCTACATTTTGAAAGGAATTAAATAACGACACATCATTCATTTACCTACACGCCACGACATGAGTAACTTTTACTTGACGTTACCCAGTAACGATGGAAGCGTCAAATACTTTCCCGACAACACTAACATTTCTTGGAAAAACCGACTCAATAAACGCTTGGATTTGGAAGGGGAATGGGAAGTGGGGATGTCAAGCATTTCCTTACCGCCCGAATCGATCCCGACACCTTATCTCAAAGGGTTATCCAATGGGGCAGCCATGCTCAAAACGTGGAGAGTCGCTTATCGCAAGAGAGGAAGTTCTGGTGCCCTGACTGAAGTTCCGACCACGGTGAACTATGGTGATGTAAAGCATCGACACATGGAGACGGCGTATGATCTACTCCAAGTCTTATTTGAAACAGAATACGTAAAATTTCTGGATCAGCTTCAAAATTACAATTCGTTATACGAAGGAGATTATTCGTTACAGTTTGATGTGATGTATGACGAAGCAAACGAGAATATTACTGTGAGTGCGGAAAAAAGTGGCAGAAAGCGAATTTAGATCTTTCCGTGACTTTAGAGAAAATGTGAACTTTCAGTTACGGAAAGATTTGTGCCTTCTTTTTGGATGGACAAAGGACATCATTTACAAAGGAAAGGATATCTATATAAACAGCCACAATCTCTTGTTGGGAAAACGAGGAAAAAATTTACCGAAAGCAGAAATCCGAGCGATTCCAGCCATAATGTCAACAGATACGGAATAGGGTGTAGCACTATGAAAGGTTCAGACAACGTGGTGATAGACACTCAACTTTTTTTATCTCCACGAATTCACTTACACCTTCACAAATCTTAAAGAAAGCACTTATAAAAACGGAAAGGCTCCTCGCACGCTTTATCTCTACTCCCTGTGTGCTCCCGTGATCATGGGTGATCAGACCACCGATCTGTTGCGCACGTTTCAGTATCGGCCCCTATTGAAAGGGAGTTATTATTACGAACCCAAACACATTCATTACATCGCTTTGCGAAATCAGCACATCGACAGGGTGGAAACGAAACTCAGCAAATCGGAAAATAATGACTTAGCGCAATTTACAAACGACGCAGCAAGTATCGTGACGTTACATTTTAGAAGGGTTAAACAACTCGACATGAGTGTATGCGCAAGCAGTCGCATCATGGCAGTTGTAACTATAAAAATAACAAAAAACATTTTGTGAATTGAAAAAACACTGTTAAAAAACAATGATGTGTTTATTGGAAAAAAAAAATAAAAAACCAATGTTTAATCCACTAAAAGGTTGACAAGTTCCATGTCTTCCTCATCGAGTCTGGCGTAACCGTAAGGTAACGAAGTAAATTTACAGTTTTCTATGACTCTCTTGTCAAAAACTAACCTATAAGCTTTTATTTGAGTTTCTGTCCTAATTTTCTCTTTAATCGGGTCCCTTACAAAATGTACGGAATTAATAATCTCAGTCTTTCTGGACTCATCCGAGGGATGTTGAATTTCGTCCAGAATGTTCTGCTTCATGATGTCGTAATTGAGTTGAAACATCCCACGCACATTTAGGGAAAAACCCTTGACTTTAACACAGCACTTTCCTTTGACGGTGACATATCCATAATTTTTAGCCCCTGCCGAAATGAATTCGACAATGTAATCTCCATCCTCTAACTCGTTTGTCATGTCCCCCAAATAATCCCTCAAGGGGATTTCCGACTCACCAGGTTTCCACTTGTAGACTACCGAGTGGGTATCGTAGTACAGCACTCAATCTTTTAATATTTCTAACGACTCATATAGCTTTAAGCGGGCCTGGCAGGTAGTAAAGGCGGCAATGAACACGTTAGTAGCACGACCTTTCTCCGGGTCTTGGTCGTCTCTCTTGGCCACCATTTCCACCAACTTGGGGGAAAGGATACGAACCTCTTGAACCGGCTGTAAGGGGTCGTCGAGGAGATCTAATAATGCTGCAGGGTGGTTAATCTGATGGACTTTAGATTTATTGTAGTTTTGGCCAAACTTGCCTCAGAAGGAGTTCAACGTCACATTGGCTGTAGCTTTCCTTCCAGGGTTTTTGGTGATCATGGTGGGGTTGAGGTCAATTCCTTCTTTCTGCCTGTACTGTTGGACGTAGTGAGCTTTTTGCTCCTCCGTCTGGCACCAGGCGGGGCAACTGCTACTTTCTTGTTTAATTTTCAACCAAGTGTCGACGTAAGGAGCAAAGAGTCCACGCTGTCTTTTTTCAAAATGCCATACCTCGTGTATGCGTTTCAGCTGATACCCATTTCGATGGCTTTATGGATTTCGGGGGTACACCACGTTCTGGTCAGCATCCGTTCCTCGTCGGTGTGGGGGCAGACGTGATTTCTTTCTTGCATGGCTTTTACCGATTCTTCTCTGACGCAGGAACGGCAGAGAGGAAAGGTAAGTTTAAAGGCGGAACCAATTTTCTGACGGTGTGGGAGGACAGGCTTGAACAGGTCAGTAGGTGGGAGAATGGATACTTTCATAAGGCCATAGTAGGCGCAGGGGTCTTGATTGGCAGGTTCCAGGTAGATGGTGGGATGACCGATGGGGTACTCTCCGTATTTGTTCACCCAGGTGTACTCAGAGGTGACATCGACGTACCGGATCTGCTCTCCTTGGGTGGGGTCGACACGATGGTAGAGCGTGGTCGCCCCAGTTCTTCCACCAAAGAAAGCTTCACGCGGTTGAAGGAGTGTGGTGATGGAGAAGGACTGGAGGAGGTTGCGAAGATCTGGGTTAGATTTCTTTTGTTTTTCCCACTGACACTGCCACGTTTCAACGACGGTATACCCCAATCGTTGCAATGTGGCAGTTTTCTGGGCTTTTTGGCGACGAAGGGCTTCCACAGTAAGACCAGCGGACGCAAAGGCAATCTGGTTTGCTTTGGGAAAGCAGTCGCGGCAACCGTGGAACAAACACCCATGGAACTTGTAGATGGTACGCGTTTCTGCAACGTAACCGTCGACAGTATACACACGAGATCCAAGGGGAATGCTGAATTCTCCGCCCTGACGCGCATGCTGGATTCTCGTGCCCAGGCTTCTCTCTGTCCACATCAGCCATTTCAAGGACACGTGGGAATGATTGGGCGTGGCACCTTCCCATCCGTTCTCTGGCTTGATGTCGATACAATCGGGAGCCATCACGCATTTTCGCCAGTACCTAAAAAACCAAGAATATTATTTTTTAAAATAACATTTGTCATCGTTTTTGAACAAATCAACGCATGATTACCTGTTACAGGCTTGGGCAATCGTCACGCACTTCTCCATGGGGTCAAATTTGGCAACGTTCCTCGGTTCGTCTTTGTCTTTGACGTTGGTTAGTAACTGACGTAGTGTGGTGAGATTAACATTATTTTGTGTGAAACGATTACTGTTACCTTTACAACTCTAGAAGGCAAATCTCGTTGGCCTATTGTCCACACCTGTGGACCATCTCTAGAGTTACCATTAACTTACCAGTGTTATATTGAACTTGCAGAAGAGTTCACAGCAATTCTCAATGCCAAGGATTCCTGGTCATTTAATATTATTTAGGTTTGACTTTACATACATTTAGGGCCAAGATTGAACATTGCAGTATATGCAGTTCAGTCACCAAGTTATTTTGGTAGTTTTTGTTTCCATTATATTTAGTGACCATGATGATTAGAGGCTTTGATGTATACTAAGAAGGCACAGATGAAAAGTGATGTGAACATAAAATCAACAAGCAAAGCAAACTATATTATTGAAAATGTTTGCCATACCTTTCTGTAAAAATAGTACCTGAGGCTGAAGTGCGGTTCATTGATGTTACTCGGCTAGTGACAGATGATTTGCTGTTATTTAATTCCCTGTTGGTTTGATTCACTATTGGCAATCTTTCATGCTAAGGGTAAGAAACCCTCACCATTTATTAATGGATGTTGGAGAGTTTAGTCTAATTATGTTACTACTTAGTAAAGTCTTATTATAGTGACAAGCACATTTTTCTATTATCTACTCTACAAGAAGTCAAAAAACTTCATTCTTAATACAATTACTTTTCCTAGCAGTTTAAATTTTACCTTAGAAGCAAATGTTAAACTTTGGGCATCTTCCAGAAGTAGCAACAGATGTGCCTTGGCAGTTATTCATACTATTAATCAGAACGGTCCAGCCATTGTAAGTACATAGTGACGTAGACTAAATGTACTAAAACACACACGCTATGCATAATGAAAATTTGCTTGAGAAGGCTGGTAACAAGTTTACACGAAAGCGAGGTCGGTCGGGCCACTGTGTGTTTCTTCGGATACTTTTACCTGGCAAGTAACACATAATGAGCTCGGTTTCAAACAATTTAAAGCTCTCAGAAGCAGATATTCCTGGTTCATCATTAAGTGGGAGAGCTCCAGCTAATTTAAAAGTTCAAGACTTAAAATTCTGGCTAAAATGCAGAGGAGATCCCGCCAAAGGTCTAAAGACGAAAGCCCAACTTGTTAAAAGGTGAGACGACAACAATTGATTCTACTTTTAAAGTATTAAGAAGCTCATAGATATTATTGTCCATTAAAGAAAGAAAACTCATAAAATGTTCTAATTGATCCAAAGAGATATTGAATTCAGAATGTAAAGTTATAGATCGCTCAGACTCGATCGTCTTTGATTGAAAGTGCGGTTCCGCACCTTAATTAACTGTTGGATACGAACCAGGATACGTATATGTAAATGAAACATTTGAAATTTTTCTCGTTCAATTTGAAGGGTGGAAGAGTATATCAAGACTGGAAAAGACAAAAATGTAGTCGATCCAGACGAAAATAAATTATATACGAAGCGTAAACAGCGACGAGAACAGGGGAATGCCATCCAGACACAACCTAAGAGCAGTCCTGCTGCAGTCAAGTTTCCAGCGGATGGTTGGTCATCCAGCTTACAGAAAATGCCAGCTTTTAACAGGGCAGAGTTGGATGCGCATATATCAAAAACCGGTAAAGTCAT